GCATTTGTCTCGTCACAGTATTTCCAGCACCGTTGCATTTTCCCCAAATGATGCAGGAACTCCTTCCCCAGCTCCAGCACCCACATTTTTCCTCCTCATCCTCTTCTGGTCCAGCCACGGACGAGTCCCAACCTTTCTTCTCAGCTGAATCACTCAGATGTCAGTTCAACGGACAAAAAAAAAAAAAAAAAAGTCACCAGTTGCTCCTTGCTGGAAAGCCAGACCAACATTGCCATCCCCTGGCCCGGCCTCGCAATGCAGCGGCTGCAGGGCTCCCGGCCTGCAGAGGATGTCACCCCCACCAGTATGTGACAAAAAGCTTTAGGACCCAGGTCTGGGTTTGGGGTTTTTTAAAGCACATCTTTTAGGCAAGCCTAAGAGTAACTCCTCATTTTAATACACACAAGAGAGCACTAGAACTAGAGTAAAACCTAGATCCATTTTCCTTCCATTCTCTTTAAATAGAATTTTCTAATTTCTTTTCCTTGCCATCCCTACACTGTTACCCACGGTAGCAGCTCTGAGGCTCAGCTTGGCAAGCAGCACACAGAAAGAATCGTGATTAGTAAACTGTAGTAGACAAAGAGGGAGGAATTAAATTATTAATTTATCAGCAGAGATCTATGTGCTGAAAGTGCTTTTTAGCAGGTATGCACTTCAAAACACAAATGATCGCAGAAAAAAATACACATCAGAGCAGCGGCTGCATACCTGCCAGCCTCTCGCAAGCAACAGAAATCTGCACTGAAAATGTGAATATTCACCACCAAAACGGAGCTGAGGAGACCTATTCCATTGCAGCCATTGGTTGCTTCGTAAAAACCGATGGAAGTTTTTGAAGTCGCTGGCTCTGGAGCTGGGAATATGGGCAGGGTGTGTGTCAGGCTTGGAACAGCTGGCTTGGACGCTCACACAAAATCAGCTACAATGGTGCAACCGGGCCAGGACACCACCCAGCCAGCAGCCCTGTGCTTTTCCTTTGTGGTTACAGAGCTGTGCCAAAAGCTAAGCTTTCATTCCAAAAGGGAGGAAAAAAAAAACCCAAACGAAGTCCTCAGCCCATCTAAGTCTAGACCGGCTTTTTCTCCAGTTAGAAATTACAGTTTCAGTGTTCAGCGACAGCGTGGACACAAACACGCTGTGCTCCGCTCTTAGCTAACCGGGTCCCTGCAAAGGTGTCGCTTTTTAGCCTGTACAAGGGCAAAAATCATCCAAAGGGTGGATCTGACGTGATGTAGAGGTATGTGCTGATGTGCGGCCAGGCTGGAAAAACACAGAGGAAACCAGTCTGGGCATAGAGCAACAGCAGAACAGCCCAGTTCCTTGAGTTCTGAATCAAAATAGTACAGACCTGTGTAAAACACAGTAAATTGTATTTGTTAGCACTAACAGCCTCTGCTAGGAGAGCAGTTCCTTGCAGATCTGGGTATGACTGTCATTTTCATTCACATTGATCTTTGATTAGTACACAGGTAATTCTGAAATGCCCAGGAACAGATCTCCTGACAAGATTCCCTGTTTGCTCTCGCTCCCCCAAATCCATCTTCTATTGTTCGTTATTAAAAATTTCCAGTGTAAGAAACATATTTTTTTAAACAAGCATGCAATACCACTCTTACAAGCTTTCCCTCATTTCACAATGTTTTTGAAAGCCAAATAAATTTTGAAAGTGACAACATGGTTTTTTGTTCAGTTTTAATTCCAGTGCTCAGTATCTCCTGATGAATAGTTAAGTGAACTATGCATGAACGAGAGCTCATCTGCAGTTTAAAGAAAATGAAAAACTTTGTTCGTACAGCATATAAATCATCTGAAAGGTAATGAAAAATACTTAGCTGCATTTCTCAAGAAATTTGCTCAAGCAAATCACACTTTCAGGATTTTTTTTTTTTTTTTGTTCCTCTGAACACTTGCTTTACTTAGGATTTTTCAATACCAAAAATAATTACTCTTCAGTGGCTAACTAATATTATATAGCGGTTTAGTGGCACTGCATTAGCTCTAAGTTTGTTAGCTAGCTTCTTCCAGATAAAGCTATTTCCAGAACATCTGCATCAGTAGAGTAAGAGGCTTCTTGCATAACTGCTGTAAGGCGGGGGGAAAAAACCAACCTCTTCTGAAGGCTTTTTAATGTGATCTTTCATAATTCAAGTTCTTGGGAATTCAGACCAAAGGAGGAAGAATGGATTCATTAAATAGTTCACTTTCACCTAATGCCTTCTGCATGCTTCACTCTTAAGCTATAAAGCAACCAGCAACCACCTTTCCATACTTGTTTGTGGTCGGGGGAGAGCTTGCTATCTGAAGTCAGGAAAAACCCTTCCCTCTGCTTCGTGCAGGTTGTGAGCCAAAAGAGAAGTTTTACAAACTGAGGTTCTTCCTCCCACACTGTTCAATAGCTTAGAAGTGTCTGATCAAGAAAAACTTTGTGACTTGAGGATTAAAATAAAATTAAGGGGGAGAGAAGGTTGAAGTTTCCAGAAACATGTAAATCACTTCATTCTCACTGGATATGTCTTAATAAATCTTAGACTTGGGCAAAAATCCATATCCCCACTCCCAGCCAGAAGCAAGTCATGAGACACAGAGAAAGATTAGCATATGCTCAGTTCAGACCTGCTTATTTATTTCTTAAAATGTTTTTACTGAATTAAATCAACCTGTCCTTGCCATTTTATCAACACAAGGAATTCTACGTCTTTGAGACAACAACCTCCCCCGGTTGTTTTTCTGAAGACAACACCTCCGTCTGTTGCCTGTTTCCCCAACACAAGGGGAAAATATTCCCCAGAGGCACGAGTAAGATAACAACTTAGTCCTCTTTACTGATGGAGAATCTTCAGATCACAAAAATATCCTTCCCACCTCCTTTTTTTTTTTGTCTTATTAAAAATTAAAACCTGAAGTTACATTCACTGGTCTATGTTACAACAATGGACATTTAAGTTTACAAACCAAAACGCACAGAAGCCAGGAAATGAAAACTAGCTTCCAGAGGAACATTAACAGCCTTCTCCTTTCATCTTCTACGCACACTTGAACACACACTTCACCGGTCTAAAATAAAAGGCTTTTTGCCTTTTTTCTACGCACACTTGAACACACACTTCACCAGTCTAAAATAAAAGGCTGTTTGCCTTTCCCTTTCATTAGCTGGCAACTTTAAAACTTACTAGTAACGTCCTACTGCTACATTGAGAGTCCAGAGAAGATCAGGGATCACCTGACGGGCAGAGCAGTATCTATATACACACAGACGGTATACTCAAAGTTGGCACTCGTACGCACTGATGACCGCAAATACTCCAAGCGTATTTAGAAGTGTTCAAGCAGCCCTAAGCCATGCTGGTGAACTACAGATATAGACTTTAATGCCTCTGTACAACCTCGGTAACAGCCATCGGACACAGGGACAATTGTCGTACGCCGACAGGAACTATTTCACTCTCTATCAGGGACAGCCTGGGTTTTACTTGTCTTTTGCATTTTCTGCTAGCGAGCATATCACGGGGATGGGATGTTTGGAAAGCTCATTTACAATGACCAGCTCTAACTTTATTTTCTATCCACAGTGCTGGACACACACCAGAAGGATGAAGACCACACACGCATCAGATACTTACTCCCTACAGTCCCTCACTTGCAAGTTTTACACGTTTGCAAGCCAGAGGCTGTTTTCAGCACAAACAACCCTCAGCTTTTGTACTGCAGGAGCTGGCAGCAGGGTAAGAACACACCTCAGCACCTCGCTGGGCTAATCAGGACTATTCCCTTTTAATATCTTGCAGTGTTTGAGCTGACCATCTCTATGTATCCTCTTCTCTTCATATTTGTCGACAGTAATTTGGAAAGAAACCCTCTCTGCTCTACTAGAACAAAGGCCTTTGTTACATGTTGCCTTGATTTAGATTCAAATACAACTGGAGTGCTTAACAACAAGTAATGCAGTCTGGCCAATTTCAGAATCACTTACTGGGGGTGGGGAAGACAATGGGAATTTCACTTTTTAAACTTGGTTTGGTCTTAACCTGAAAGTGACTATTCTAAAATCATGACTTGGAGCCAGAACACCCAAATAAAACAAAGCTGTTAAAAACCAAAAAAGAACAGCTGAAAAAACCCCACTTTGTTTACGGAGGTAGTCAAATGAAAATAATTTAATTTGATCTTTCATCTTGCTTTATACACATTTATTGCACTAGAACATATGCCTTCTATATAAAAAGATGCTGTAGAAAACCACAAGATTGTAAATACTAGATTTATGATTTGTTTGCAATTATATTTAATATTATTTTGTTTTTACAAAGCAGTTGAAATAATAAAAAAAAAAAGGAATAGCAAGAAACCCTCCATCTGCTGTCTAGCATCAGTAATCCTCACTGGTTTGTTCACCATTTATAAGGAAAACATCATTCAAGGTAGCTTGTCACAGAGACTCTTCTGCAATAACTGGCCTTCTGTGCCAATCTGTGGCGTCTGTCAGTTCATCTGTCTTTTCCGAAAGTCCCTCCTCCTCCTCCTCCTCAAATTCAAGGTATCTGCTGATGATAATATTCTTCCCCTCTAAAGTACTTTCCAGCCAGACACAGTAAAGCTGGTACCACATCTCTGAGGATGGTAAATAGCCTCATTTCACAGAGGTAAACCGAGCATAGATAATTAAATTTGCCTGAGGCCAGTCTTTTGAATAGCCAGCCACAGAACCCAGATCTCACAATCCCAGGTGATTCACCTTGGCTGGAAACCACAGAAGAGTGAAAATTAACTGATTAAGCAGAAATTGTTTCTTTCTTCATCCTCTAGAAGAGGATCAGGTATTTTTCTTGCATAGTACCACCTTCTGTGTTACTGTTTGGAAATGGTGTCAATCTGTTTTCAGGTTAACACCTGCACTAAGCCCAATCCCAAAGGAGTCCCTGTGACACGCACTCTGTAGGCAGTCAGACAGTGGGTAAGATCAAGCCTGCTAGTGACACGGGACACTAGGGAGGTTAGCCTCATCCACCTGCTGACGGGCCTCTCCGGCCTGGTCTCCAGGAACAGGTTCCGCCTCCTTCTCCAGACAGGGGATTATAGCCTAGAAATAGAAAAGAAATCCATTGTATTAATATTCATCCTCAACAGGCCCTCGCGAACACACAAGGAACACAAAAAATAAATCTCACAATCATTTGCACCTTATTCGTACTTACTATACAGGCAGCATTTTAAGGAAAATGAAAGCAGACTTGAGGAGGTTTATTTTTGTAGTGCTAATGGTAAAAGCCATTGCAAAACACTCTTGTTTTAATTTGATTGATTTTGATTAAATTACATTGAAATTAATTACCATTTAATTTCTCTAAGTCTGCACTAAAGCCTTAATGCTGCTCTGCAGGGTAAACAGAGCAGTAATGGTAACTGTTACAGTAAACTCTGTAAGAGTGGATCCGTTCTCCAAGAGCCCTACTAGTTACAAATTTAAAATAATCTTTCATTCCAGTCCTGCAAGGAAGGAATACTCTGCACGTCAAAAGGTAGAACTGCTCATTAGCACTGTAAGATTTTTTTAAAGAATTTGAAAAGGCAAGTGTATACAGTAAGACAAACAGATACTTTAGGTGAACATCTTAATGCCATAACTGCAGGCAACCTTATTTTACAAGTATGTACTCAGAAAGATACAACTTGGCAAACATCCTCAATTTGTTCTGTACAAGGCAAAAAAAGAGAAAACTGAAAACCTACTAGCCTTGCTAACCAAGCAGGTTTCAAAGCAACCTGTTCCACTGAAACTTGAAGCATCACCTCCATCTTTGAAGTTTGTTTTTCTCACACAAGCCAAGTTCTGCTTTCTGGCTTAATTCAGCAGCTGAATGGTGCAGATGGTTCTTTCACTTCATGCTGCTCTACCTCATGAGAAGATCAGAGACCTCTAATTCTGTCATCTGTTACTTAAGGAAAGATTTTTCTTAGGATTAAACTAGGCCGGATAGCAGCTGGAAGGGTGCCTCAAGCCAGCTGCTGTGATCCAGCTATTACCCGTGTGCTGCTTATCCCCCAGAGTGGCAAAAATTCTGTGCAAGAGCTATAAAAGGTATTTGACAGTATCAGACATTAGAGTGAACCCATATTAAACAACGCAAGATAAATCAATTGCTCAGGTCCTTGAGATGTTGTCAACAGCTGTCAGAAAAATACTTCCTGCACTTAAGTGATTGAAAGACAGAGCAGGTATTACAATATCGGACTTTTACAATAATGGGGGAGGGACCCCAGAAATATTGTAAGAATCTATAATTCTGAGTAACAAAAATCTCAGTACATTATGGCAAAAACATTTATAAGAGAACTGAAATGCTGCTTCCCTGGGGAAAAGCACTATAGAAGCATCCTGCTAGGTTTTGCACAAAATGCAAAGCAGGCCATGCTGATAAGAGATAAAGAGCTTTAAAGGCACTTTTTGTTTCCTCCTTGAAGAAGAGAAAAATATGTACAATGACTGTGTATGCAGCTGGATAAATGCTCCGTCTCAAACTCTGAATATCTTAAGGATTTCATACTCACCACCTCCTCGCAAGGGCTTTTTGTTTTGTTTAGATTTCGGGACTGCTGATGAGGTGGAGGCACCAGATTCTACTTCTTGCTGTTCACAAAAGCAAAAGTTACTTAGAATTTAATCAACGTGAATTTCAGCTAATCTAATCACATAAACATAAGTGTAACCTGATTGACAACACAGTTGTTATGTTACCTGATTCAGTTTCAGGTTTCCTTTATAGCTTTTTCCTTCTTGCATACTTTCCCACATTGCTATCTTCTGCCTTCGTTTCTCTTCTTCAAGCTAAGGAACAAATCCGGGATATGTTAGACTAAGATCTCAGAACTAATAGCATTGCCAGCGCTACAGAAACAGCTACAAGAAATGCATCAGAAGCAAAGGGATCTATCTTCATCTGATGCAGTATCTCTGAGCTTATAGAGCATTTACTTTTTTAAATACCCAAGTCTTCCTAACCATAGAACAACCACTCTCTTCAATATATACACACTGTGTCTGCAGCTTCTTTGATGCAGCTTCTTTTGACCACTCAATGCTTTAAAACATTTTGAAAGTAAAACAGAACCAAGTGGCAAGCTTAAATTCTGAGCTTATCAAAAGTACTGAGTAAAGAATATTGCATATGATAGTAATTTCATGCACAATGTAGGGTTCTACAGAAGAAAATGTGTTTTTCAAATGCATAAGACAGCCAGCTACATATTTACATCCCAATATACAATATCAACAGTTCTGCCAGCAATCTTTCAAAGCAATTTATCCACAAAACCAAATAACTGCCACCTTCTTGACAAACAGAAAGGAAACAAGGTAGCTACTCCATCCAGTCAAAGAAAGCAAAGCTCCCCGATTCCAAGCACATGAGACCTAGGCTTTCTACAGAGTGTCTATTTTCTTCCACAGTACGACTTTTCATTCATTTTTAATGGCCAATATTTCTTGCAGCATCAGCTATAAACTGAGGTCTGAATGTAGCTGATTGCAAAAGTAAAAATAGAAGGAGAGCTGGGATTTGAGCAGGAAGATGAGCAATATTATTGCTGTGCTCATCACATCCTCTTCTCTACGCTGCCCCACACAACAATCTGCTGTTTGCTATTCCTCGTTATCTCAAGCTGTAGTTCAAACCATTCAATTACAGCAATGCTAACGAGACCTATTGCCCATCACTGCTCCGTGGATCAAACCATATCAAAAGCAGTCTGGGTAAAGGAGGATGAAAAAACCCACCACCCACATTCCAGCAGAGAGAGCGAGTCTCCTATTCTTCTGGTACCTAGCATGGAATAAACCTTTCTATAAGAGCAGCAAAGTAGGTGCTGACAAATTCATGAGTTAAAGAAAGAAACCCTCTCTGGTTACCCGTCTTTGTTTTTCCTTGTATCTTTCTGCTTGTGCATTCAACTCCTCTTGCATCCTGAGACGAGCTGCTGCCAAAGCTTCCTGCCTCCTTACCACCAGCTCAGGTTCTAGGAAATTGGGAGAGAGTTGAAAAGCTATTTAAAATCAATTCTAAATGGTGTACTCAAAGACTTGTAATAACAAAAGGCTCACACCTCTCTCTGCAGTTGTTTTGCACAAAATCACAGCTCAAGTTCAGTTTGCAGCTAATCTTTTACAGTCATTCATATGCCGATTTAAATTTCGTAACATTTTTATATTTTTAGAGCAATTACTTTAATGGCATTTTAATGAATAAGGACACTGATGTAATGTACCCATAAAAAATCAGAATTCACACTTCTAGGATACTTCCTTCTATTTCTGAAGGATTTGTTTGATACAAATAATTTCAGAAATAGCATCCGTGCTTCGCAGGGATTCCATTTTTACCCAGAGAACTTCTTTTACGCAGAAGCATGAGGCAACCAGCCCACATTCACTCCTACTCCTTCTGGCAATGGGTCCTGCTTGTTTCGCTATGGCAGCGAAGCAGTGGAAGATTTAATGTGCTCCAACAGCAGGGAAATTACTTACAAATATCACACACATCTCGAGAGAAAACTGGCAGTCTCAGAAAATTTACTTGGATTCACCACTTCTCTTCATGATTGGCCTTTAGAAGTCAAAAGAAAAATTATATCCAAACAAAAGCAAACATTGCTCTCTTTTTTCCAGTAGCTGAAGCATCTCTACATTTGTTTGTCTCCTTACATGTTTGCTACCATCCAGCGATGAACATGTAAAAGACATTTCAGTACTTTCAGTAATTTCATTTTATAGGCAGTTTTGTCAATTAAATCTTGATTTAATTAGCATTACAAAAGAACATCAGCAGGATAAGGACACGTCACTAATGTTTTCTGAGGCCCCACATACTGCCATGTCAAGGTGCCAAAGGAATCAGCACCAAGCACTTTTTGTTTTGGCAGATACATAAGTATAGCCTGTGCTTTACTGCAGCGAGTCTCCAAAGGAGGGAGGATCACGACTGTGTAAGATTTACAGCCTGTGACACACTTTAGAAGATAACACAGACGAGAGGCAGTTACACCCCAAATGCATACAGTCCTGCCAGAGGAGGAACTGGAAAGGAATAACTGAAAGGAATGAATACGACAATGAATATTAATCAAAAATTAATATCGATCAAAAGTTTTTTCCCCAGTATTTAGGTTGTGGTGTTTTGTTTCATTTTGAGAAATCTTTAAAATTATTTGGTACCTGACCACAACTCATTTGAAGCAGGTGGTTCTCTCAGTCCCTGCACTATCAAAGACCAGCTGCTCTCTTGTTCCGCAGCACCCTGCACCTTCCCTCGCAGCCCCATCACTCTGGGACACAATCCTTCCCTGACACAACCTTTTAAAAACCACTTCACTTGGTCCAAGCCTTCCTCGGCGATCCCCTCGGTAACACGATCTGTACGCTGTGGGTCTGAACAGTTATCCTGAGTGCGGCTCAGTGTCCAAATCCCCCAGCACTGAATCTCTTTTTGGCTGTTTTTTAAATACAGACTCTGCCGGTGTGGATCCGAGGAGCTGTCAGCCATCCCCTCCCGCCTGCGGGGCGCTAGCAGGCACCTAGAAGAGCCCCAAGCACCACCTCACACAGTCTTAAAGAACCAGCAAGGATCCACTCAC